ATCGTTATACATATGTCATAACTGGAGTTAATGAATTAGGAGAAGGAATATCTAATAATAAAACATTCTCATATCAAAGAGGTATAATAGACAATGATTACTGAATAATAAGTTCATCCCTTTTAGTGCCACAATCAGTTACCGAAGCTGGCTCAAATATAATAGCATTTAGTCAAAATACTTCTACTGCTTTCTTTAATATATCAGTAATGCCATGTTATTTAAATTTTACTCTTGTTAATGTGTATTATTATAACAGGTGGTATTGGAGTGTACTGGTGAAGCTCCTGAGAATGCTACAGTTACTATACAATGTACTGGAGCTGGTGTTATTTTTAACAACACGTATCTAGTGGAATATACTACACAATCAATGAATATAACAGGATCAGTATTAGTACCACTACATGAACAGTGTAGCATCAGTATTGTTTTTAGTAATGAGGCTGGTAGTAGTGAACCATTTTTAGAATTATTCAGTGAGTTATGCAAACTTCAAACATATATAGTATGCTAACAACTTCCCATACAAAATACCACCATTCTACATTACTTTTTAACTTATTACTTATAAACCTTTATGAACTCAAAATCAAGCAATTTAATCCATCAGTTGTAATTATAAAAGAACTATATTTAAATCATTTAGCTGACACAAATGCTAAAGCAATAAAAAATATTTTTTGTGACATTGAGGCATGAACTTTGAGGCCATGATTTCATTTTAATTGTGGGACATTTAATGGCGCCACATAATTAAAATACCTATTAATCATGGAATTTGCAAAAATAATTTAATCTCGTATGGTGCATTCTGATTGGTTAATTGAAAACAGTTTTATGGTAGAGTTGTTAGTTAATTTGTATCAGTATTCTTATCTAATTAAATTTTTAGATACTACTGCTAGCATTTTTCCTACAATTGCCACTGAAACCCCCTCATCAACAAGTATGAACTCATACAATCTTTAATACTTATACACATTTATAATAGGGGGGACTATTAATGACACCAGTCATTATATTATACCTGTTGTGGTTAGTACAATTAGTGTATGTATTGCACTAGTGCTAGTAATAATCTTAACAGTATGTGCTGTGATCATTGTTACTAAAAAAAGGACAAAACAAGTATATTCTTTGTCAATTGGTAAATATTATTGATAATTTTTGTTGCAAAAAAACTTATGATAAATATTGTAGACATGGCTAATACTGAAAAACTACAAGTTGAGGCCAATCAATATCAAGATTTTCATGAGTTAATGAATATCACATCAGCTGTAACATTGACTAATAATAGACCAATAGATGATGAGAGTCCCTATCATGTTGGTATCACTGAGGTAATCTATTATCTCCTATTGTGATATCAAAATTGTTTCCATTGCTGACATCATATCTAGTTTCTTCCTCGTGAGACCATTCCTTCCAACATTGTTGAAGTAAGGGTAATTCATGTGACTGTTATTTTATATCATGTTATTATAATGATAGTGAAATTATAAAAGATCTTATTAACAATAGAATAATAGTATTTAAACTTGACATAAACAACTGTTGCATCCACTATGCAACTTTGTTGCCAGTACCTTTGATGTGGTTGTGCAACATGTTGCATGAAGTTGAGAGTCTCTCTACTTCATTCAACATGTTGCTCAACCACATCAAAGGTTTGACTACAAGTTGCTAGCAACAATGCTGCATAGTGGATGCCCACCTTCATAATACCAAACTGATTGTTATTTAGGAATCGATGCAAAAACAGAGATCAGAAACTCAAGAGGACAGCATATCATCAACAGCATCAAATAAGATTCATGACCCTGATGATCTTGCTGTTACAGTTAATACCAATGACGACACTACTCATACTGAAGCTGTTATTGCTAAAAGGACTGATGCTCCTACTACACATAATAATCCACCTACTGCTGTTAAACCTAAAGCTATTGGAAATGTCAATGCTAGAGTAATTTAATTTATATTGATATAATTTTCTATCATTTTATTAGAAAGGACATGCCAAATTTACTAGCAAAGATGAGGTATTACATTAGATTATAATAACACATTATTATTTACAACTACAGCAATTTAAAGTAGAAGCATCAGAGCGTTCAGAAGAGGAGATGGAGAGAGAAGAGCAAGCTTTGGTAACAAAACAATGACATTGGACAGTTTTAAGGATCAACACAAAGGGATATCATTATTAATGATTTTGTTTAATCTCCCCTCATGTTTTTATAGTAATCGTTTTGTATCTTTTTTTTATTACTAATCCAATTATTTTTTAGACAAATCCCCAAAAAATTAATTTGACTAAAGTCAGCAATATCATCATTTGGGAGCAATTTAAAAATTCACAAAAATTCTATTTCAATCAGAATCAGCTCCAAATTTTTACACAGCATAAACCATGTATATGCAACAGAATAATTAAAGCAACATGGTACAAAAGTAAGAAATAGTGATTAAATAACAATAATAAAAATAATTATCCCAATTATAAGTCTCTGCATTATTTTGTCAGGTGTGACCAGCATTTTCTTGGTTTTAAAAAGCATTTAACACAATGTAGTTGTGGATTTTTAGTTCCTTCAAATTTTACAAAAACATCCTATACTAGTAGATGCAGATAGTACATAGTCTGTCATCAAAATAGCTACTGAGGACAGAATTCTCCATTTTTCAATTTCCTGATATCACTTCAACTTAATTATTGTTATCATAATTATTCTCTCAATCATACATGTAATAAATCATTG